CCACACCAGCCAAGGCTCACAAAGCCAAATTTTTGAAAAGTTCTTCTCTTTCATCACCTACTCAACTTTTCTTCCCATTACAGTACAGTCTGATTTTGCTTCCATGCTTCTACTTGGAGCTGTGTTCTCCTGGCTTACCATCTCCTCCTTATCACTAACTTTAGTGTCTACTTGGGTATGGTTGAACAGCACGGCCTTTCTTTTGTTATTTTCCTTCCAGGCCCCTTACAGAGTGTGGCCACGCAGGAAGGAGGTAGCTGTAAGGGAAAGAGGGTGGAAATCATGGAGGAGCTTCTTTTTCCTCCTCCTGTGACCATGAAGGTGGTTAGAGGAGTGCACCCCTAAGAATAAGGAGAGGACACCAGTGAAGTTTCTTCCTTCACAGGGCTGGAGGAGGAGAGGTAGATCCAAATGCCAGCTTTCCTCAGTAAGCCATTTGCGTTATTGATTTATGGAAACAGAACTACCATGTTAAATGTGCATTAGTAGTTGATAATCACACCCTAATTTTTCATACCTAATTTTAGGCATGAAATAAAATCTGTCTTAAAAATGAGTCAATATCATGTTATAATAAAAGTAAGCATTTAAAATTGTCAATAAGAATTGAAGTATTTTGAGCAGTAATGGACTTTTGTATGTGGATTCAGACTAAGCAGAGAATCACACACCTGATGGCATCTCACCTGGCTTCTCTTGCCTTCCTGTCTCTTTTGTGCACCTTGAATACAAACCCACTTCCACAAGTACAAGGTGTTTTTTTGGTTTTTTGTTTTTTGACATTACAGGGCTCAAGCTTTTCCTCTGAGTAAGCCTTGACTTTTTCAATGAAGTCCCACTCCTGTAAGTCTGCCTTTAAAATGTACACATTTAAATGCACTTTTTCTGATTGTATGTTATAATTCATAACAAGTAAGGTTAAAAACATGTATATGTTGAGGAATTCAGTATAGGGTCAGTTTAGTGCATTATGATTTATTTAATTAAAGCATTTTTAATTGAATCTTTTCAATATTTTGTTTGTTTTCTGTAGTACACATGCTTTTATCAGATTGGTTATTGGTTTTGATTAATTTAGCAACATTTATTTCCTGACTGTAATGTAGCTAATTTGCCAAATTTGTTTTTTCTTGACTGTGTGATTCCTTCTCCTCAGTGTTTTAAGTCTGTTCTTGGTTTATAATTCTAACATTTTCCCTAATCTTAAATATGGAGTGTGTGAAATAAGAGAGAGAAATGTATTTAGATTGATTGGGTCAAAACCCTTTTTGGATTTTTAATGGGATATTGATAGGCATAAAAAATCATAACTAATAAGCAATTTCCTTTTTAAAAAAGGTTTTGATTTCTGGTTCTGAGGGCATAAATTGTAAAATAGAATTTTTGAATTTCTGAAAGGAAGATCCTAACACACCCTCCTCGCCTTATAAACGAGGTTCAGAGTTTAGCATGACTGGCTTACAGTCATGCAGACGTCAGGCCTGTGACCACAATCCAGGTCTCTTGATTATTGTTCTAGTGAGCTCCCTACTGTATATTTTCAGTATTTCCTGATATATAATTTTCAGTGGGAAAGAACCAGAAGCAAGTGTTGTCTGTTGACATCTGTGCACTGCAGTATGTAATTTAATATAAGTAGTAAGTAAAAACAATCTTTAGTCATTTCTTATTATAAAGAGTTTCCCTTACAAAGTGTCTTTTGAGTTGCTTTTATTTTAATAAGGCATTAGTCATACTTGGGGCATGTAGTGTGTGTTCTATAAATTATGATAGGTTTCATTTATTCTGTCTTTACTGTGGGCTGCCACCCTGCTAAGCATTTGAGGTTCGTTATTTTATTTAATCCTCTCAACATTTCTTTAAGGCAGGGTAGGTGGTATGTTTACGAGCCCATTTTACTTATGAGGAAACTGAGATTTCAGAGAGGTAACGTAACTTGCCCTGTGATACAGATCTGATCAGACATATAATGACAGGTAAGGTAAATTCTTAAGGTCCTTTTGGCATTATTTCTGAAGCTTGATTGGTATGTTTTCATGGGTGGATGGTTTGGGAGAGTGGAGTTTCTGAATCACTGAAATAAATTGCCGTCCTTGATTTTGGATTGTTGCACTATTTTTCTGACATTTGAGCCCTGGTGAAATAACTTCTGGATTAAGTATGTCAGGATTCTTGTTCTTGTTCTTGGTTTAATTATGTTATTTTGTATAAGAACTCTGTAAGTTAGGTTTTATCAACTCCTCTTTATAGGAGAGGAAACAGAGTGGGCAAAGATATGAAGTGATAAAGTGATTTGAGTGATTTGCCCACTGTCACATAGCTTGTATGTCAAAGCAGGAGCTGGAACCCAGCTCTCTTGACTGTAAGTTTAGCGCTATGCTATTGCTCTGGGACTGGGAGGGAGGTTCTAGTGGTACATCACAGCCTTATTGCTTTGTCCTATATACGTAATATCACTAGAAGTTACATGAATTATATTTAATTAGGAGGTTTTTGGAGTTAGAAGGTACTTTTGAGAATCCTTAGATTCCAACCTCCTTTTATGGTAGGTGCGGATCCTGAGTGCTTAAGTTACTTAGACTGAAGACAGCGCTTGTTAGAGGGAGAATGAATGAGTTTCAAGTCAAAGTCAGAATTTAAAAATATCCCAAAGGCTGGGACCTTGAGCTGAATCTGACCAAATGAAAATTTTAACAGATACATGTATAGGTTTTTTAGAGTATAAATTACAGAACAATGGAAAGGAGAGAAAAGTGGGGGTATTTACTGTATAATTTATTCAATTCTGTGTGTTTGAAAATTTTCGTAATAAAATATTCAGTTTAGCAGCAATTGGTGTGTAAAAGACTTGCAAGTATCTGGTAGCTTCTAGAAAAGCAAGGTTCTTTCTTAGATTAAGTTAAGAGAAGCTCAGTGTCTAGAAAGAGATGTAATAGTCGTGCTGAACTCTGCTTGCCAGACCAAATCTGTCTAGTATCTGTGCTCAGTTGCAACGGGCCTGCATACCATGATGCTGATGAACACAGATGGTGTGGAATCTGGAAGAGTGGCTGGGGATTCGTGGGTCTGACATGAGAAAAGGGTAGACTTAGAGAAGCCTTGTAGTGGTCTTCAGATCTGGGAGAGCTGTGGGGTGAAGAGTGGTACTTTTGTTCTTACTGTAGAGCTTAGATTCAGGTTAGAGGAAAGGAATTACAGGGATTGAGATGCCATTCCAGTTGCCTCGTACCTGAGCTCCCCATTCTTTGCCCCTTTAGCCCATCCTCAACAGCACCAGGTTCATCGTTAGGAACTACAAATCTGATGTAGGGCACACTACCTTTAATCCGTCTTTGGTTTGCTGTCCTGTGTCAGACAAAAGCCAGGCCTTGCCCATCCCACTAAGCCCTTCCCCACCAGTCCTCACTTGGACATTTCTGTATTCTAGCCAGACCCAGGTCCATAGAGTTCTGCAGGTTAGCCCAGTGCTTTTCCACGCCTCTATGAGGAGGCATACCTCCCACCCTATTCTCCAAAGACAGAACTGCGGAGTAGATCTTTCTGCTCCTATTGTGCTTGTACACACACATAGTTTACCCTTGAACAACACGGGTTTGAGCTGTACTGGCCCACTTATACAAGGGATTTTTTCAGTTTTTATTTAAATTGTTAACATGAAATTCAAACCCCTTTTTGTTCAAGGTCAACTGTATTTTCCATCTGTGAGTGGGAATCTGTAGAGGCGGAGAGACTGACTATAATTATACTCAGTTTTTTTTGTCGCATGGGGGGTTGGTATCCGTAACCCTTGTGTTGTTTACTGGTCAACTGTACTTACCTTGTTTTTTCAGTAGAATTTATAAAGGGTGGTGACCTATTCACTATTCATTTATGTATCTCATTTTTTCACTAGACTGTGAGCTCCTTGAAAGTAGAATTTTTTCTTAATCATCTTTATATATTCATGTATTTGTTTATGCCTTGTCTGACTAGCTTCCCAGAGAATTGGTATTTGTCTTGTCATGGCACAAAAGTGTTCAGTGAATGTTAAGGAAATGATTTGCTTCATAACTTTTTAGTTGTCATTATCCTCCAACAGTAGAGCTTATAACTAGTTTTTTGTCAGTGATGTTGCATGTGAGATTTCCTATAAGTAGCCTCCAAGGTATTTTCCACTTTTAAGTGTCTGTGGTTTGATTTTTTAAATACTATTTTATGTACCATATGTGGAAGGTAAGAGATGGCTCTTTATTTGTTTTCGTCAGGGGCTTTAATTATATGATATCCTCAACCATGTAAAGGAAACTCAAGCGTCCTTTGTGGCTGTGGATGTGTAATTAGCTATAGGCAGGACTCCTGGAGCTATAAATCCTGTTCTGAGGAGCCTGAGTACTGGAACATCCTGGTTAGAGTTCTGGCCACCCAGACTGCAGCCTTCTAAAAGCAGGGTTATTTCTATAAAGGAGAGCAGTTGTGTCTGCCCATGCCTAATAAATAATTATTTAAAATTAAAAAATAGGTATCTAAAAATTAGTATGATTTTAGTTAAGAATTTTACTGCTATAACTTAGTACATACTGATTTAGACCTGGTAATAATTTTCTGCTCTAAAGAAAGATAGATTATTATATTAAATATCATGGTAATTAGTACCTATGCTGGGTAATTTGGAAAGTATGATCACCCCTAGAAACCTGCAAAATGGCTAATTCTCAAGTGCAAGGATGATTATTGCTTCATTAATAATGTACACTGTTATACCCAGTTCTATTAGTGATCTAGGATGTTATTTTTACTGATAGAATTAGAATGCACAAAATAATTTAAAATTAGTAATATTTAAGAAGGAAGCCTTGCAAATAGGGTGCATTAACAAGTCTAATAATTTTTCAACTTTTATTTTCTGTAGCTACATCAAGCTTTCAAACATTTTTATTTATTGCATGGTACAATTCTTCAAAAACAAATTTCTAAGGTGCTTTCTTTCAGTTTTGTTCTCAGTATACCATTTCTTTCCACAGATTTGCTTGTAAATGTATCACGAAGAGGCAGCCCAGAATGAAGAAAGCAAGCAGGAGTGTTGGCTCAGTGCCTAAAGTGTCTGGGATAAGCAAAACGCAAACAGTAGAAAAAACTAAACCTGAAAACAGTTCTTCAGCATCTGCAGGAGGCAAACTTGTAAAACCTGGAACAGCAGCATCATTGTCAAAGGTATTAATGTGGCGATGTTTGAATATGTGATGGATTTTTAGGTGGCGTGGATCTTAATATGATGTTTGATTTATTAAAGAAGCATTATTTAGGGTTCGCCCTCTACTGGTGCTGGGAACACATAGCCTTTGAATAGAGTTCACAGTCTGGTGGACTCAACTGGTATGTATGGTTTGTCTTTATGAATGAAACCAAATAGTAGGCTTATTTGTGAAACAAATCATTGAGCGTCTGCTTAGTGCAAGGCTCTGTGTTGGTGTGAGCTGGAGGTAGAGTCTGCCTTCAAGGAGCTTGTGAAGTAATGGATGGAGTTGAATCACATGCAGAGTAACTAAAATACATGCAAAAAAAAAATTAGATGCCCTGGGAGAGCAGGAAAACAGTGTTAGCAGTTTCAAGTAGGAAAATACTGTTTCTAGCCAGAAGGTTTATGCTGGGTCTTAAAGGATGACCAGCAGGGGTTTTTATTCCTGCCCCACCCCCTTCCCATAACTTACTCTTTTTCTGACAACTCAACCAGTATTAATTCTAGTTAAAATGGGGTGAATCTAATTTTCTTTACGCTCCTTTATAGGCTGGCTTAGTTCTTGTTAGTGTAGGATAGTGATTCATTAGATCAGCAATTTTTGACTGGTGCACTGCAAGAATTTTTAAAACATGCAGTATCTGTTTAGTTGGGCATTGACCTCTTTTTCCTTAAGATTGTCAAATAAAAAAATGACAACAGCCAGCACAACGATAGCCATCTGGTATTTCGTCACATCGGCAAAAAATATATTTTTTGGTGTGCCACAGAATTTTAGTAATTAGTTTATATGTGCCACGAGATGAAAAAGGTTGAAAATAGTTGCATTAGATCCTGGGTTTCAGGAGCAGACAGACGTGGGTTTAGTATGTGCTTTATAGGGCCATGGTCAGGATGAAATGAGGAGAATATATGAAAGCGATTAATACATGGTCTGGCACACAGCAAGTGTTTAGTAAATGTAGCATTTTTATTGGTTCAGTCTAGAAACTCCTCTCTAGGAAGTAAGTTTTCCCTGGGTGTTCTCAGTGTCTATGTTGGTTTGGACTATCCAAGGGACAAGGTGGCTCCAGGTCAAGTCTTATGTCATTGCACAGAGATTCACACAGTCGTCTTCTTCCAGCCTTCCCCAGCCCAGAATGCATTTCTTTGTTCTTTGCTTGTTTGTTTTAGGGATGTGGTGTTTTGGATTTTGACTCAGTGGAGAAAACCTGGAGAGTGTTTCTGCTAGTCTGATAGGGAGAAACCAAGCCCTACCTGAAACATGATCCATTAAAAGCCTTTTGTCTGTGCAGGACTTTGATAGATCGAGGCTTAATTATTTTTCGAAGTACCTCCAGGAACAGCTGGTGAGGGACTTCCTTATATGTGTTAAAAGATCTAGCAGGAAATGCTGGTTTTTCTACTCCAGGGTTGTTGAAACTGAACCTAGACTTACTCCATGGGCTTGGAGATGCCCCCAGATTTTCTCCTTGCTATTGCCCTAATGAGCTGCTGGTGTCATCCTGTGGCCTAAGGGATGGTACCAGGAGTAGCCTTTTGCCCTACTTCCGTTAGCCTGAATCAACACCATGAATTATTTCCGTGGCAGTGCTGCTCCTCTTTCATGTAAGATAGCTGACATTTTCTGACCTAACTGGTTACTCAGTTTCTGGGGCTGTCTTTGGAGTGGAATGCCTGTGTGACCTGTTATTTACCTGACTGGAAGAACAGGTTGAAACATTGACTTTGGATTTGCACTGCTGCCTTTCTTCTGTTGCCTCCTTATCAGTGGCAGGCAGTGTCTTTGAAGGTTTACAATGGAGTGTATACTGTGCAGGCGTGGCAGACCGTCTGAGGCTTGGATCCGGAGTTGCAAGTAGTTTGAACAGTGAGTCTTGAACAGTGAGTACTTTTTCATTGTAAAGCAGAACTGTATGCCTGTTGTGTGACAGCACATGCCAGCTGTCCGTAGCTTTGGCTCTGCTGTGTTGGCTGGTTTGTTTAAGTAAGTTCTGTGTGTGTGTAGTGGGGAGGGTCATTGAAGAGATGAAGCTATTTGGGAGCACTTTACCTGGACTGGAGCAATTGCTTTTACTTAAGAGAGGAGAAGAAAGTCTTGAATAAAAATTAAAGTAAGAAGACACAGAAGGAAAGAAGAAAACTGACAATGAACAGAAAAATTGAAAAAAAACTAAAAGGACTTGGAGACCCACAAACTTAAGTGTTATTTTATTTTTCTCTTCATATTCCACTGTGGTTCTTCATCATATAGATACTGCCCCACAACTTGAATTCCTGTAACTGTGATGGAGCATTGATGATTAACCAGATGAATGAAGTGTTTGGCTTTTAATTATTTAAACACTGCATACATACTCATCCTCTCATGTGGACACCCACAGTATTGTGTAGGTCACTATGCAGTGTTCATGACATTTTTCTTTATAGTGGCAGGGTACTGGGATATGGCTTTCTTTACCTCTCATTGCAAATATTGTTTGAGGCTAGATCTAGTTAAGTGGTATAGAAAAGGACCCTTTGATCTAGAGCACCTCATTGCTGATTGGAGCTTTTGCAAATAATAAAATGAAGCACTACTGCTATTTCCAGTGAGTTTGGGGGAAGTTGTTCTCACTATTGTCAGTACCTGTGACATCTGTCTTGGGGTCTTGATATGCTTAATTCTTCTTTGTCACAGCCAGTAGAAAAGATTATTCTCCATGTAGAGATGGTTTCCTACATGCCTACACTTTTCAGGTTTCACACACTGCTCAGGTGTTCATGTTCATCCTGGTAGAAGTAATATACTTACTCATTTTACTGATGAGAATATTGTTTTCTAAAGATTGGTAGATGGGAATTAATAAGCTTTAGTTCAGTTAGAATCTATCTAAATACTTGAAAGGTAAAATTTTAAAACCAATCTTAAATTTTCAAAAAATTTTAAATTGATTTTAGAGATCGAAAGGGGGAGAGAGGGAGAGAAACACTGATTGGTTGCTCTCCTCACTTATACATTCTTTGGTTGATTCTTGTATGCACCCTGACTGGGAATTGAACCCGCAACCTTAGCTTATCAGGATGATGTTCTAACCAACTGAGCTACCTGGCCAGGGCTAACTAATCTTAAATTTTGAGGTAAAGATGCAGACTATGAAACTTGGACTTTATCTTGAGAAGCATGTATATACCTTGGTTGTAGTATTTCATTATTTGTATCTGGAATGTTTTAACCATATGATTTGTATTTTGCGTCTGTTATTAAAAAGTGGCTAAAAGGCTATTCCTTCATTAATTTCATTTTTTGGATTGCTGCTGATGGAGGATGTTTACATGTGGGGATGCTCAAGTATTTACAGAATAGTGTAACAGATATTAAGAGACATCAGGAAACACTGCAGAGAGTCTGCAAGTAGTTTCACGTAAAAGCCAAGTTGGGAAGTGCACAGTTGTTTTTGTTTTGTTTTCACTTTTTTTTGAAGTTTAACATATATCCAAAAAAGTTCACAAAGCATCCGTGTTGAGCTTAGTGAATCACTATAGAAGGGACATACTCTGTAGTCACCACCCAGTAAGAAACAGAGCAAACCTGCACCTCAGTGCCTCCTATGTGTCCCCCTTTCAATCATTGCCCTTCTTGTCTTCTTTAGGAGTAACTGCCATCCTAAAGCACCAGAGATAAATTTTGCCAGTTTTTTATTTTTTAAAATATAAATATAATTATATACTGTGTTCTTTTTATGTGCATCTGATTTCCTTAACTCAGCATTATGGTCATGGTACTCATCCATATTGTTGCCTGTAGCAGCAGTGCCTTCTTCTTCATTGCTGGTTACTAATTCATGAGATGAATATACTATAAATTATTCACCTATTCTGTGATGGACATCTGGAGTTTCCATTTTCTATCTATTATGAATAATGTTGTTACGAACATTCTTATACATATCTTTTAATACACATGTGCACCTGTTTCTGTTGGCTTTATAACTAGAAGTGAAATTACTGAGTCATAGGGTGTATAGTATTCAGCTTTAATAGGTATAGGATGAAATCATTTTTCAAAGTGGTTATCAGTTTATACTCCTGGTTGCCTCACATTCTTACCTGCACTTATGTTACTCCTAATTTTAACCAGGTTTGTGTAGGGGGATTTCAGTGGCTTTAATTTGCATTTGTATTACTGTCAGTGAGATTAAGTGCCATTTCATATCTTATGTGTTTAGTAGACATTCTAATATCCTCTCTTGTGAGTACCTGTTCAAATCAGTTACCCATTTTTTCTGCTGTGGTGTCTTTTTCCATTTTTATTTTTGCGGTAAAATACACGTAACATTTACCATCTTAACCATTTTTAAGTGTACAGTTCTGTGGCATTAAGCACATTCACACTGTTGAACAACCATCATCACCATCTACAGAACCTTTTCGTCTTCCCAAACTGAACCTCTATCCCCATTAAACAACAGCTCTTCATTCCTCCCTCCCCTAGTTCCTGGCAACCACCATTCCACTTTCTGCCTCTGTAAATCTGACTATTCTCAGTATCTCACTTGAGTGGAATCATACAATATTAGTCTTTTTGTGACTGGCTTATTTCGTTTAGTGTAATAATGTTCACAAAGTTCATCCACATTGTAGAATGTGTTGGAATTTCCTTCCTTTTTAAAGGCTGAATACTTGCCCTGGCTAGTGTGGCTTAACTGATTGAGCATCATCCCAAGTACCAAGAGGTTGCTGGTTCGATTCCCAGTCAGGACCATGCCTGGCTTTCATATAAGTTTTTATTACATATATGATTTCTATATTTTAAAAAGAAGTGTGATTTATAAACCAGTTGAGAAATTCTGCACAGTATGATACACCGCTTGCTAACTGTTAGAAAGTCTTTGTAGAACTTTTGAACTCAATATAAGTCAAGAGTTTTGTTTAGTCTGAAAATATTTAATCTTGCTTCATCTAGTCAATTTATTTTGATTTTATGTTGCTTGCAGACCAAGAGCAGTGATGACCTTTTAGCTGGAATGGCTGGAGGGGTGACAGTGACTAATGGTGTTAAAGGAAAGAAAAGCACCTGCCCTTCCGCAGCATCTTCAGCATCTGCCCCTGCCATGACCACCTTGGAGAACAAATCCAAAATTAGCACAGGTATGCGTAGTGTTCAGTCTCAGAGCTGATTCACCTTTTTGTTTGACTAGGCAGAGTGCAGTGGTATCAGGAGATTCCATCTAATTATAGAAAATTCAAACATGTACAAAAGTAAACTGGTATTTCATCCCATATACTCATCAGACTTATCAACTGCTGGCCAGTCTTAACTCCTTGACACTCACCTTTTCTCCCTTATTATTTTGAAGTAAATTCCAGACATCCTGTAATTTCACCCACAAATATTTCATTATCTTTGAAATTAAGGATTTAAAAGAGAATATAGTCACAATACCATTATCAGTTCTTAAAATAATCAATCATTCCTTAAATCATAAATTATTCAATAAGTGTTTAAATTTTTTACTATCTGCCCTGGCCAGCGTGGCCCAGTTGGTTGAGTGTAATCCTGGGCACCAAGAGGTCGCTGGTTCAATTCCCAGTCAGGGCACATGCCTGGGTTGTGGGAAGTGTGCAGGAGCAGCCAATCGACCTTTCTCTCTCTTTCTAAAATCAAAAACACATTTAAAAATAAGTAAATAAATTTCCAACTGTTAATAAATATGGACACATATTTTTATTGGCTGATTGAAACAAGATTCATTTAAGATCAGTAGGTGATGTGTCTCTCTTAAGTCTTTTTTCTTTTTAATGGGCTTGGCCCCCTTTCTCTTGCAATTTAATTTTTATGGAAACTGGTTGTTCGACCCATAGAGTTTTCCATGGTCTAGATTTGTCACATCCCCATGTTGTCCTTGACTATGTTCCTTTGTTCTCTCTGTGTACTTTAAATGTCATTGGATCTAGGGCCTTGAGGGGACAAATTCAGGTTCCTTTTTTCCCCCCAGGACTCCTTCATAGGTGGTAGTTGTCCATCTGCAGGAGGCGCGTCATTTCTGGTTGTCTCTCTTTCCTGATGTTAGCAGCTTTTGGTGATCAGTGCCTAGATCCATTCATTCGGGTGCTACCATTCATTTTTCATTCATTTGTAGCAGTTTGTTTTTAGATTTGATAGAATCCATAAATTAACTCATCCTATAGTCCAAGGAGTAGTGCTGTCATATTTTAATTTTACCCTTATGGAAAGAAAACTTAAAACGTCTAAAAAACGTAACATTGTGTGTTTATAATAGAGTTTCAAAAGCAAATTGGCAAAAATCATATCAGATCTTTTATTACCATTATTTAGGCTATTAGCCCTTCTTGTGTGTATTAGACTTTTTCCTAGCCCAGGTTTACCTACTGTCCTCTCTCTGGCTTTAACCTTCTGCGGATTCTTCCTTCCTTCCCAGATGGTGCCCCACTGTTCATTGTAATGGCAGTGTGGTATGATTATCAGGAGGAAACCTGTAAGTTTGTGCTTTCCAGGCATTATTCCATTTCATCCTCACTTTAGCCCTATGAGGTAGAGGCTATTATCCTCATTTTAGAGATGAGAAAGTTCTGCATTGAAAGCTCAAGTATCTTGCCCTAGGCTGTGTTTCATTTGCTTAGTAAATATTGGGTGCCCATTTTGTACCAGGCCACAGAGCTAGTGGTAGAGCAAGAATCAAACCTTAGGTCTTTTACTCTCAAGTTTGGGATCGTCACCACATTTAACACTCGAGTTTGTGTGGTAAGAAGGAAATGACATACTCTGTTGTGTGGTTAAATGGAAATTAAATATTCTAATGCTATCTGTATCTCTTCCTATTTCCAGCCTTTAGAATTTGTTGGGCGAGATCCCATGTATTTGCACATGTGGTTTCCTGCTGACCAATGCCATCTGCTCTCGCAAGACTAAATTCAGTTATCACTTCCCTGAATCAGTATTAGTTTACTAGGCTGCCATAACAAAATACTACAGACTGGCTGGCTTAAACAATAGAAATTTAGTTTCTCACTATTCTGAAGACTGGAAGTCTGAGATCAAGGTGTCAGCAGGTTTGATTTCTTCTGAGGCCTCTCTGCTTGGCTTGTAGATGGCTGCCTTCTCATTGTGCCCTTACCTGGCCATCCTTCTATCTGTGTCTGTGTCCTAATACCCTCATCTTATAAGGACACCATCCTATTGTATAGGGCCCACCCTAATAACCCTATGTTAATTAACTTAATGACCTCTTTACGTTAATTACTATATCTCCAAGTACAGTTGCATTGTGAAGTGCTGGGGGTTATGGCTTCAGCATGTGAATTTGGGGGACACAGTTGAGCTCATGGCGACATCCTTAATTCTTCAGTTTATCTGCTCTACCTTTACTTACTCCCCATGTCTTCCCTTGTCTGTTCACTTGTTTGTACCTCAGATTCTTTTTTTTTTTTTTAAATATATCTTTATTGATTTCAGAGAGAGGAAAGGAGAGGGAGAGAGGTAGATAGAAACATCAATGATGAGAGAGTCATTGATCTGCTGCAGCCCACAACATGAGCATATGCCCTGACCGGGAATCGAACCCCGACCGCCTGGATCCTAGGTCAGTGCTCAACCGCTGAGCCACACCCGGCCGGGCTGTACCTCAGATTCTTATCTACTCACTTGTCACAATAATCCCAGAAGGGGAGCCTTTCTTCTTCTTCCACGTCTGTCTCTCCCTTTCTTCTTGTTTCTTTACCTCTCTTTTACTTTTGAGACATTATCAGTTCTTTCCCTCATTACTGGCTCCTTCCTTTTTGTCTCTCATTCTTTTCTTTTATTTCTTAGCCTGGTTTTTGGTTTAGTTAAGAAAGATGATGGTATGAGTTACAGAAATGGGGGAGGGAATAAATATTGGGGGGAAATGTTTCACCAGTCCTTTTCCTCTTTGGCCTCCATTTGCATTTGTTTCTACCAATCCTGTTACTTGTGCCTTTGAAATCGGTTACTGGTTTATTATCTCTTCACTGTTTTTACAGAGATCTAGATCTTACTCTCTGAATGTAGGGCTTTTTTATTTTCACTTCACTGCCTGCTCATATTTCTCCTTTACTGCTCTTCCTTCCTCCTCATATGTTTCACTTAGCATCATCTAGATTAATATCCATAAAAAGACTCTTTCTTTATGTTTCTTCCCTGCTCAAGAATATTTGATGACCTCTGTGACTCACTGAATTCTCCGGGACTTTCAGGTCTCTATATATTCAGGTCTGCTGCTTTTGTCGATTGTGTGGCCTTACTTTACCTTTTTATGTGCCATGTTCACTTCTGCCTACTCATCCCCTGTCTGTTTTGTAGCCAGCCATAATTCCCTTCCCTCCACTATACCCGAGACCTGGCAAAATTACCAGCTATCTTCGTACATCATGTAGATCTTTTGTTCCTTCTTACCTCTGCGGCCTGGTGCCTGCCACATAAAGAACCAATAGTTTCTTTAAAAATACTCATTGAACTTGGCTGGGCTCAGTGGTTGAGCATTGACCTAGGATCCAGGAGATCACGGTTTGATTCCCAGTCAGGGCACATGCCTGGGTTGTGGGCTTGATTCCCAGTCGGAGGCGTGTAGGAGGCAGCCGATGAATGATGGATGACTCTCTCATCCTTGATGTTTCCATCTCTTTCTCTTCCCCTTTCNTAGGAGGCAGCCGATAAATGATGGATGACTCTCTCATCCTTGATGTTTCCATCTCTTTCTCTTCCCCTTTCTCTCTCTCTAATCAATAGACATATTTTTAAAAAAACACAACTCATTGATTATGTCTAGACGTTATTTTTCAAAGTGAAAAATATTCTAATTATTTAAGTATTTGTGGGTATTTAAACATATTCCTGTTATTTTTATATTAAACAATGGATCTTGTCAGTTTTCACAGGTTTAAAATTTTAGCAGTTAAGTAAATAGTATGGTTTGTGCAGCATATTTGATTAACGTGTCTTCATTATTTAGCATTAATGCGTCATCATTGTCTAACATTTAGAGAGACAGTAGAGCATACTGGTTAAGTTGCAGATTCTGGAGCCAGATTGCCTGGGTTTGAAGTTAACTCATTACCTGTGGAATGTTGGCAAATTATTCACATCTGTGTGAGTTTCTTCATCTGTAAAACATGATATATAGCACCTACCGTAGCGCTTTGATGAGGCTCATAAATTAATGTATGTGAAATGTTAATGTGCACATGTATATGCATAAACGCTAAGTACATGTTGACTGTTATTGTTATTATTTATGTGGTACTCTGTGACGTGAAAATTTTTTGCATTTATTTTATCATATTCTTTTTGTTTATTGTAAGTAGCTTAGAATTTTGGTTTGTTCAGAGGCTGCCTTTCCCTTTTTGCTCTTCTGTGATCTTTCTTTACCATCTCTTTTTGTAGTTAATTTGCCACCCGACTGGCTAATCCTAGAGTCATCTTCATCTAGCTTGCCTTAGAATATTATGGCCCCCTGTTTGAAGCCATGGGTTAAGATTCAGGTTAATATGTGTAACTTTTTTTAATGTAACAGCTATATTGAGGTAGAACCCACATTCCTAAAATTTATCCTTTTAAAATACGTAATTCAGCGAATAACTTCTTTTTCATTGATAGTTAAAAGATGAATGATCTGGTTTTGAGGATACTGAATTTTACAGTAACCTAATGAGATTAATGTAGGTAAAAATCAATGTGTAGATCCCTAGATTTCATCTCGTTAGATGTGGGGCATAAACTATGTGCCTTTTTATCACTAATATTTTTGCCTTAAATTCTTTTGTTTTAAACATGTAGGCACAAGTTCTTCAACCAAGCGGAGCACGTCCACAGGTAATAAAGAATCCAGTTCTACTAGAGAAAGATTACGTGAACGTACTCGGCTAAACCAGAGCAAAAAACTACCTTCTGCAGGTCAGGGAGCTAATGACGTGGCACTGGCTAAACGTTCCCGCAGTCGCACTGCTACGGAATGTGATGTTCGCATGAGCAAGTCTAAATCGGACAATCAGATCAGTGACAAAGCTGCTCTGGAAGCCAAAGTGAAAGATCTTCTCACACTGGCAAAAACCAAAGACGTGGAAATTTTACATTTGAGAAATGAACTCCGAGACATGCGTGCTCAACTGGGCATTAATGAGGATCATTCTGAGGGTGATGAAAAATCTGAGGAGAAGGAAGCCATTATTGCTCACCAGCCAACTGATGTTGAGTCCACTCTTTTGCAGTTACAGGAACAGAACACTGCCATCCGTGAAGAGCTCAACCAGCTGAAAAATGAAAACAGAATGTTAAAGGACAGATTGAATGCATTGGGCTTTTCCTTAGAGCAGAGGTTAGACAATTCTGAAAAACTGTTTGGCTATCAGTCCCTAAGCCCAGAAATTACCCCTGGTAACCAGAGCGATGGAGGAGGGACTCTGACTTCTTCGGTGGAAGGCTCTGCGCCTGGGTCAGTGGAGGATCTTTTGAGTCAGGATGAAAACACCCTTATGGACCATCAGCACAGTAACTCCATGGACAATCTAGACAGTGAGTCCAGTGAGGTGTACCAGCCCCTCACATCGAGTGATGACGCCCTGGATGCACCATCGTCCTCAGAGTCGGAAGGCATTCCGAGCACAGAGCGTTCTCGGAAGGGAAGCAGTGGGAATGCCAGTGAAGTGTCCGTTGCTTGCTTGACGGAACGGATACACCAGATGGAAGAGAACCAACACAGCACGAGTGAGGAACTTCAGGCAACTCTGCAAGAACTAGCTGATTTACAACAGATTACCCAAGAACTGAATAGTGAAAATGAAAGGCTCGGAGAGGAGAAGGTTATTCTTATGGAGTCTTTATGTCAGCAAAGTGATAAGTTGGAACACTTTAGCCGACAAATTGAGTATTTTCGCTCCCTTCTAGATGAACACCACATTTCTTATGTCATAGATGAAGATGTAAAAAGTGGACGCTATATGGAATTGGAACAACGTTACATGGATCTAGCTGAGAATGCCCGTTTTGAACGAGAGCAGCTCCTTGGTGTCCAGCAGCATTTAAGTAATACTTTGAAGATGGCAGAACAAGACAACAAGGAAGCTCAAGAAATGATAGGGGCACTCAAAGAACGTAATCACCATATGGAGCGAATTATTGAGTCTGAGCAGAAGGGTAAAGCGGCCTTGGCAGCCACATTAGAGGAGTACAAAGCCACAGTGGCCAGTGACCAGATTGAGATGAACCGCCTGAAGGCCCAGCTAGAGAATGAAAAGCAGAAAGTGGCGGAGCTATATTCTATCCATAACTCTGGAGATAAATCTGATATTCAGGATCTCCTGGAGAGTGTCAGGCTGGACAAAGAAAAAGCAGAGAGTTTGGCTAGTAGCCTGCAGGAAGATCTGGCTCATACCCGAAATGATGCCAATCGATTGCAGGACACGATTGCAAAGGTACTGTTTAAGTAGATACAATGTTTTGGATCAACATCATGTAGTTGCAGTATGCAGCATGCTTACTGAGAGCCAGCATCACTTGTATGGGGTATCATGAGCTTTTTTTTGTTTGTTTATTTGTTTGTTAATTATCACCCTAGGATGTTTTCTCCATTGATATTTTAGAGAAACTGGATGGGAAGGAGGGAGGGAGGGGGAGAGAGAGAAACATCGATGTGAGAGAGACGCATTGATTGGTTGCCTCCCAGCCAACTGGGGCTGGGGATCGAACCTGCAACCCAGGTACATGCCCTTGACTGGGAATCGAACTGGTGACCCTTTGGTGCGTGGGCCAACGCTCTGACCACTGAATCACACTGGCCAGGGCTCTTTTTTTTTTTTAGCTGATATATTTAAAGCTTTGAGGATGGTTTTCTTTTATTTAGATAGAATGAAAAGTATTCTTACAATAATGTTACTTTCACTTGCATTTTGTTACTGTTTTTCTGCCTGTGAGAGAATGGGGCTAGAGTTTGAACTAACAGAATTTGTCCCTGGTTCTGGGTACACCCAGGGGGAGCATGTCATGCAATTTTACATTCTCATCTGTGATGTATTTTGGCATAAGAAAGATGGAGAGCCAGTATTCCAGGTGGTGTCTGCCACTTCTTATCCTGTTACAGTTTTAGGTTTTCAAATAGAGTTCTTTTGTGAGTTAAAAAATATTTTTGGAGTACGGAGACTCCTTTTTCTTAGAGGCCTACGGTTTGTTGCTGGGGAAGGCCTTTGATATCATTAGTCTGGTACCCCTGTTTTATATGCAACATAGTTGTGAGGACTCAGAACTGTACCCGAGTTGCTGGCACTCTGGCCAGGGCTCTGTGCCCCACCTGATTGCTGGTATAGTGTTTATTTGCATGAGTTACCTAATCTATCTCACACTTTGTTTCCTATTTTAGTGCAATGATTTTTAAGTAAGAAACATTGGTATGTCTTTGGCCAAAATTTGAATAATTTAGACCTTAATTTTTTAGTGATGACTTTTAGAGGTACAATTTAGATCTGTTATTTATTGGAGCATGTATATATGTTGGGGAGACTGAACTAATACTTTTGTAATGACAATATTTGAGATTTTTTTTGTTCCCATTATTAATTTGATACTGAACAATTGGGACACCGTTTTTGTGGGAGAGCATGTTAATCATTAATCAAATGCATGCCTTCGGTCCAAACTTTGGAGGAAGGAAAATTTCCAAAATTTCCTTCCAAATAATCTAGTTAAATTCATTGATTTGCCAATATAATTTCAGTCAGTGATATAGTGACAAATTATGCTAAGTATATTACTATTGTAAAGTGCTTTTTCATATTTTTAACGATGAACTAAGGTATACAGTTCATGAACTAAAATGATCCATATAATAACGGCACTGGCACTTAGCTTGCATTCGAAACTGTATACTTCAGTTCTAGAATTTATCTTGAAACAATTCTATCTTCTCTAATCTGTATCACCAATTTCATATAGGTAGAAGATGAATACAGAGCCTTCCAAGAAGAAGCTAAAAAACAAATAGAAGATTTGAACATGACATTAGAAAAATTAAGAACAGAGCTCGAAGAAAAAGAGACAGAAAGGAGTGACATGAAAGAAACCATTTTTGAACTTGAAGACGAAGTAGAACAACATCGAGCTGTGAAACTTCATGACAACCTCATTATTTCTGATTTAGAGAGTAAGTGACGTTGGAAAATTTCATTCCTTTTTGTCCTACCCATTTTAATTGGTGGGAATAGTTTACAGTCAGTAACAAAATAAAAATTAGTAATTCTGACTGTAGCAGTTCAAAGGCAATAGCAGTAGCACAGGAGCTAGCAGAAATGTGCATGTGGTAAAGTATAATCCGCACACAAGTTGATAGTTTTCGGATTGCTGTTTTGTTCCTGAAGAACTGTTAAGTGGAAGCATAACTTTAAAACTGTGCTTAATTATGGAAAATTATTTAAGCGAAGAGCTAATGGGGTTATTATTTTCTAGATCTTAGGAAAAGCTATTATCTACTTCTAGTGATTGCAAGTATACTGAGACAAAAAAAGTATTGACCCTTTGTAATCTTGTGCCTAAAGCACAGGTTTATTTGTCTCATTTTCCTCCCTACCATGGAAATTTTATAATCTGGTGGAATTGAAACTCAGATTTGAAGTTGCTTTTTTAAAATAAAAGTTTTTAAAAACTATTTTGCAGTTATTTCAGATTTATAAAAAGGTTGCAAAAATAGTAAAAGCATTTCTGTGAGAAAATTTGATGAACAGAAATTTGCATGATTTTAAAATGCCTTCCCAAAGACTTTATTATGTTGCAAATGAGGAAGAAGAAACAACAGAAATTATGCAGTGGAAAAATTGAGCTACAGGGTGGTCATGTAAGTGACAGTGGCATGTAGATATAGGACACATCAGCTAGGCTGTATTCTGGCTGAAGCATAATTTCAGTTAATCATAGAGAAACATTAAACAGACAAAAAATGAGGCATGTAATTAAAAACAGGAGTGGGTGGTGCTATATTCCTAAAACATGCCAACATCATAAAAGACAAAAGCTATGGAAAAGTTCTAGATTAAAGGAGGCTAAGGAGACATGACAGTTAAATGCAAAACCTGTGCCTAGACTGGGTGCAGAACTGTAGGGGGGAAAATGCTCTAATGGATATTATGACAGTGGTGGAATGTGGATGGTAGATTAGATAAACATATATCAGTATAAATTTATGAAGTTGATTACTGTGTTTATGTAAAAGAATGTCTCCATTCTTGGGAACCACACACTAAATGTTTAGGGGTAAGGGACCGTGATGTGTATCCTTAAAAGGTCAGGAAAAAATTAGGGATAGATAGATAGGTAGATAGAGGCAGATAGACAGCAGTAGAGGATAGCAGATAATAAAACAAATGGGTAAACTTAACAATAGATGAATCTGAGTAAAAGGGTATATGGGTGTTCTTTGTACTATTTTTGCATGTTTTTGTAAGTTTGAAGTTATTTCCAAATAATACATTTAAAAAATTCTTATGATTCCTCAAATGTTAACAGATTTTGAGTTGTAATACACTTTAATGATGTCCAGGTGGGGACAAGGAGAATGGGAGTAACCTTTTGGGGGATGCATTGGTTAAAGCTTTTTAAACCTTTGGTTCATGATACTGCTCCTTTGAGCTCTAATCTTGATGGAGGGTTAATAGGCAAATATAGCACTGAGCCAGATCTCATGGGCTATGGATACAGAGGTGGGGAGGTGGGGAGGTTTGAACTATTTCCAGGAGAGAGTGAGTCAGTGGCAGGAGCCCCAAACATGTCTTGTGGCAATCCTGAGTTTTAGCTAGTTGACTCAGTATCTATAGGTTGACCCCAGGGTTATTCAGAACATTGTGAAGTATCTGGACACTAAATCAGCTGACTGGGACAGTATTTCTTGGAGATAGTGATAGTCATAAACATTTTCTAAAGTGTTTTGCATTGTTTTTTTTTTAATTAAAAAATATGTGTTATTAAAATTTTATTTTAGAGAGAGAGGGAGAGGGAGGGAGAGAGAAACATCGATTGGTTGCCCCCTACTAGGGACCGAGCCTGCAACCTGGGCATATGCCCTGACCTGGAATCAAACCCATGACCTTGCCCAGCCGGGCGTGGCTCAGCAGTTGAGCATCGACCTAGGATCCAGGCGACTGGGGTTCGATTCCCAGTCAGGGCACATGCCCGGGTTGCGGGCTCGATCCCCAGTCGAGGGCATGCAAGAGGCAGCCGATCAATGACGCTCTCATCATTGATGTTTCTCTCTCTTTCTCCCCCTCTCCTCTCTCTGAAATCAATAAAGATATATTAAAAAAAAACACATACAAAAAAAACAAAACCAAAAAATCCATGACCTTTCAGTGCACATGAAGACACTCAAGCACCTGAGCCACAGTGGCCAGGGCTAAAGTTTTAAAAAACTTGATTTTAACATTTAGTTTTTATTTCATTATCTCAACTGAGAGGATTTATCTAATTTTACTTACTAAATGTTAGAGGTTCTAAAGTTCTTTAGATTACTTGGAAGCGCAGTGCATTTTTCCATTCAGCACTGTTAATCACCTTTTCCCTCAGAAAACTTCTGAATTTATTTTATTTTTTAAACATATCTTTATTGATTTCAGAGAGAGGAAAGGAGGGGGAGAGAGAGAGAGAGAAGCATCAATGATGAGAGAGTCATTGATCGGCTGCCTAGACTGCAACTGGGGCATGTTCCCTGACTGGGAATCACACCCGGATCTCCTGGATCCTAGGTTGACTCTCAACTGCTAAGCCAGGCCCGGTGGGGCAAGACTTGTGATTTGAATGCGGATAGAGTGACACCTTGTGGTAATTGCTAGAAAATGTTAGATGATGAGGATTCCTGGGCTGGAATTTTATAAATCATTGCCAAAATAAAATTACATTAACGTCATGTGGATTTTCATTATAGAGTGGCTGAAACTTCTGAGTAAATTATTGAGCTGTATAATGCCTCTCCCCATTGTTTTGGAATGAAATGTTCAAATATGCGGAAATGCTGCAGGAATGTGTTGTTAGCGCCCGCCACCAGGAGTGACAGGTGTTACCATTTTGCAGTGTTTTGCGTGTATCCATATTTAACTGAACTGGTTGACAGTAAGTTGTAGACCTCATGACACTTAACTCCTAAATGTTTCAATATGCAACTCCTTCTAAATAGTCTCCTCCTAACCACAACACTATTAGACACAGGTAGTGGAATTAGTCATAATTTCTTAGTACCATCTAATACCCCATATTAAATTTTTAATAGTTTTCGTAAGAACCAGTATCCTAACAAGTTTCATGCATTACATTTAGTTGTTATATCTCCATAGTCAAATGGGAGTTAATTTTTCCCCCTAAAGATTCTAGCATTTGGGATTAATGCTAAGTTAGCACTTGGTACAGGGGACTTGATGACAAAGAATACTGTTACTGAGAAATTGAGAACTTCTGTGAAATGTTTTAGCAACCATCGCTGCAGTCAAGTTTAGAAATTTTTCATCACCCCCCAAAAGAATCCTTGTCTATTAGTAATCACTCCTCATTTATTTCAAAATGATCTTGACTTTGGAATTAGTAGACAGCTATTATAACTGTACTCAGAATATAAAGGAAAATACGCTTGTAATGAATGAACAAATCTGAGCACAGAATTTAAAAATGTAAAAAAGAACCTAGTAAGTAGTCTAGAACTGAAAAATTTAACAGCTAATATAAAGTTTACCAAATCATTTAAACAGCAAATTAGAGACATAGTAGAGTGAATGAACTTGAAGATCAATCAGTAGACATTATCCATTCTGAAAGGCAGAGAGAAAGAAGATTGAATTAAAAAACTGGATAGAACTTCAGTGCTTTGTGTAACAGAATCATAAAGCATACTGTGTAGGTGGGTCCTAGATTTCCTTCCAGATGACATCAGTGCCATACTGCTCAGACCTGGCTTGCAGAACTTTTCAGTAAGTGGTGCTTGAATTTAGCATCTAAGCTACAAAGATCTGATGTAAAAACTTAGCAAATACTATAAATACTGTTGAAGGTGATGGCCTGAGGTTACATATATATTTCTGCTCCCTCCCAAAATCCTAGTGACATGGCAGGAGAAGTATAAAAATTACAATAATCTAAAGCAAAGATAGAAAATGGAAAAGTTCCCATCAGTACATCAACAATTTTGAGTAGTTTCTGGGACATATAAAGCAGATGGAATTGGGGAAATCAAACAATAGGAAAACCTACAGTCCAGGAGAACACTGAAGCTCTGAGTAAATATGTTCCCAGAAAGACTTTGGGGGTGGGGGGCCTAAAAGCCCACCTCAGGATCATAGGGACTGGAACCGGCAGTAGTTTTAGGCCATGGTGTAGGGGCTTACCAGAAGCCTTGTACTGCTCTCCTCTGTAAGGTGCTGGCTCTGGTGTTCACCCCCAGACTGCTGCTGGGCTTGACCGCCTTTCTAAGTAAGGGGGAAAATACGGTGCAGGGGCTCCTGGCATGACTCAGTATCAGAGATGCGAAGGTATGCCTAAGGCAACCACAGGCTGCCGTGTCATCTTGGGGAAAGACCACACAAAGGGAGATGCAGTTTGTCACAGCAGTGAAAGAGAGGCACTCATACGCACACCTGTCCCCTCGGTTGAAGCCGTGTAGCTCCTACTTGTGTGTCCAGAGGGGAGCCCCCTGTAGGCATGTGTCATCAGCAGAGCCTGTAGTCAGTCGTTACACTGAGGGGAGAGGCCTGTGCATAGAACAATGACTTCCACAGTTGTTGAGAAATATGCAGAGGTCACTAGTAGTATTCTTGTTCTTTATAAGTAAGAAAGGCCAACCAGGACTTATTAGACATTTTAATACCTTAAGAGAGAAACAGGAGAAGGAAGCAGCTCGACTGAGCCCAAAGAATTAAAGTTACTGATTTCACTACCAATCCAGCAAACCAAAGCTGATTAGTGCTGAGAATAGTGGCACTAACGAGATCTGAGGTCTGGCTCAAGCAATGTATCTGTCAGTTACAGCGACTTTTGTCAACTACTTACTATTGGCACCGTAATGCTCTGTGCATGCTTGCAGTTAAGGACAGCACATCTATAGTTCCTAAGATTGGGATCTTATGCAAGTCTTGCACTTTTACATGAAACACTAGTGACAGTGGTGAGCAAGTG